AAGCTTAGGACATTTGGGAGAAATTCCATTTTTATCATCAACTATAATACTTTGTTGGTTACATTTGAAATTTACTAAGATCACTATAAACATTAACTATTAATGTTTTTCTTAGTAAGAAAGCTCATTTAGATTACACTACAGTGAGCCTTGTTTAATCTAGCCAACAAAAATTCTATGTTTACTGACTGCCTTCTGTGGTTCTTTCTAGGGAAGAAAGTTATAAAATAAACAATTGTTAGAGAATCATGTAAGTTTAAAAATCTAGAGCAAGTTACAAGTCAGTACAGATTTGGTACAATCTTCTACACCTCTTGACTTTAGAATACTGGCCTAAGGATTGATGTTCAGAACAATGTTCTTGGGATAACTGTTTCCTTCTTCACCAAAGACTCATGTATCTAATTTACTATATATCCTCAGGAACATATTTTGGAAATATTTTCAGCTAAGGTCAAAGCAAAATAAGCATTCTGATGAACTTTTAGAAAATAAAGTGATCCAGAACACATCATTTCCCAAATATTCTTTCTAGCAAGGATTCAATGTCATGGAATAAAGCATCAGCTGCATCTTGATCCAGGGTAATGGGAGACTCAAGGTTCATTTTAGAGACGTAGAGCATGGAAATAGTCAACCTTAATGTCCTGGTATTCAATAACAGTTTAGTTAAGATAAATACTTTATATAGAGTCACTTAATCTTTTCATCAATCAAGTGCAGAAGTACTATTATCATTCCTGTTTTAAAGATGGGAAAGTTGAAGTGTGGAGAGCTTGAAGAATTTGTTGAAGGTCAACAGAGAGCCAAGATTCAAACCAAGTTTGTCTGACTTGGTAGGCACTATATTTTACTGCAGTCATTGTCTTTAGAACTTTTGCTCCTTAGATATTCATGCTTTTTTTGTATTTTGTTACTTTTCCAACCAGAGGGCTCTCAGACCCAATCATTTAGTAATACATTTCAACAATATTGGAGTGGAAGTTTTTTCCCTATAAACATTTAAAATAATTTGTTCGCAATTTATTGAGCACATATGATGTGCCAAACATCACATATGCATTAAGCCTTTGCTCCTGATGGCAACTTGGGAGTGTGGTAGTGTAATTATATCACCATTCTACACAGGAGAAATCTGGCCTCCATGACTCCACACTCTGCCTCAGTTCACTGTCTCCATCACTGGATGGTCTTTCTCAATTTATTTTACAGGTTCCCCTTCACCTTCCTGATATAACTATTGGATGGTCCCAGAGCTCAGTCCTTGGGCCTCTCTCTTCTCTGTCCCTTAGGTGTCTCATCTAGCCCATGGTTGAAGGTCCATCTCAGTGATGATGACTCAAAAATTTATATCTCTTGCCCTGACCTCTGTACTGAACTCCAGGCTAAAATACCCAACTATCCACTCATAACCTCCCTTGGATGGTGGACAGACATCTTAAATTTAACATAGGCAAAATTGAACTCAATTTTTTCTCAAACCTATTCTTCCACACTCTTCCTTATTTCAATAAGTTTTCCTTAAAATGTTAACATAGATGAAATGCAACTTTAGTTAACAAAATTGAGTTTCAATAGCTTTCCTAAACAGACCACTGAATTTGCTAAAATTTATGATCTGAGATTTACTGAAAAATATATCTGATTGCAGGGTTGAGATGTTGATATCTATGTTGTACATACATGTGCACATACACACTTTCTTAAAAATAATTTGTGTACTTGTAATAGTATGTAAATAAATGAAAGTATTGTCTCATTGGCAGATGAAAAGGTGCTCCACGTTGTTACATTCCTCCAGGAAATGTACGTCAAACTTACAATGAGGTAACTACACAGCCATCAGATGGTTAGAATGAGACAGATGGAGAATAATAAGCAGTAGTGAGGACGTGAAGCAAAGGAAACTCTCATATACTATTAGTGAGAATGTAATATTTAACATCTAATTATGTCTTAAAATAGGCATCTGCTATTTTCTTTTGTCAACCCAACATCATCTGCTTTGGGGAATTGCCATTTGTCTGTCTCATACTGTTGGGGCTGTTCTTGCTTCCCCTACGACAGGTGCGGAGAGTGCACTATATCCCTAGACATAGTGATCAGTGTAGTGGTCAGCATTTGCCCCAAGCTAAGTCATTAAGAATCTTTTAGGGGATATTCAGTCTTGCTTCTTTCCCTGGCATCATAAACTCTCAAAATAATGTAGACTTGTGGCCACCTTGCCATGACATAAGGAAAGCCTTTCTCAGGCAAGGAGATCTGAGAGACAGAACTCCTATGACATTATTGAACTTGTG